TCCTCCGCTCCACCCAAGTTCTGGGATTCCCTGGATTGTTGTGTTATTGGATAAGAGGTCTGATTTGCTAGGATTTCACACAGATGTAGGCATAGCTCATCAAACTCTGTCTTCATCCTTATGACTTGAACAGCTTGGCAGGGAGGCAGGGAAGTCAATTCTTCTGTCCTCCCTTTGTAATGGAAGTGGTGACCAGTGAGAGTTAAGTAAGCGCAGTGAGGTGAGGACCACATCTGCTCAGCATACATTCATTTAATCAAAACCATGTCTGGGAATAGAGGCAAAACAGTGGCCAGTTGTCACCATCTTCGTTACAGTAACTGATTAAAACAAAGGTTTTCTCCAACGAGTTTGCAGAAAGTTAATTGACACAGTGTGGTTGCAAGGTGCCAAAGTGCTTGTTTGGCCAGCACGTTTTCAGTATCCTGCTCTGTCATATAAATGTTGATAGGCACTGTTTTCTCTGCCTCCCCCTCCCCCACCCCCCGAACTCCTGCATTGAGTCCAATGGAAATCTAAAGTTTACAACATTTGTGCCCTAGTATTTCTTTCTCTGATTTAAAATATAGCTTTCAAAATGTTGTATTATTTTTGTAGCAGTTTGTGGATTCAAAATGCACACCAAGTTTCTGATTTTTTTGAGCAACAATATATAGTAAATGAAACCCGTGTTCATTAATGAGACAGTTGGCTATTCTAACTGGGGTTTTTGTATTTTTTTGTTTTAAAATGCCCTTATCAAAAATAAAGTAACACATTTTTCTATCTAAAACTAATTGGATGCATTGTTTAGTTGCCGCTTTCTTGAGCTGATAATCAGTGTGTTTTTGAAGTGTAACCTCTAGTACTGGATGGAGTAAATGCTAGCATTAAAAAATGTATAAGCCACAGAATTCTGTTCCATAATAAATGGATGGATAGGTTTTATAGGTGGATTCTCCTTTGCATTTCATAGTTTTATTTATGCGCACATGCCTGCACACACTCGCATGCCCACACACACAGGCAGATGGGTCAAGGACTCTTAATTACAGCAAGGGGGAGCAGACTTAAAGGGTGTATGGTTTCTTCTTACTTATTTCCTATAAGTCTTCTGCTCCTTCCTACAATCAACTGTTTCACAAGCTTCATTACTGGTAGATTATTTGGATGAGCCTATTGTAATTAACTGCTTTAAATTGCAATTCCTCAAAATGGAACTCCTACACTATAGGAGATTTTATTTCATGTAACTTAGCTGCTGCCTAAGAAAAACAGATTCATAGCCCTTATCTTGGGAAACAAGAAGGAACCATGACTCTCAAAGGTCAGAAGACCTACACTGTTCTTCGTCAAATTATGGGCAAAAAAGGATGTGGAAAGCCTCTGGCTTCTAGCAAGCAATAAACCCCCTCCATAATATACAGGTGTCTGCTTGCAAATGGACATAGCTGACACAACTCTGTGCGTTGGGTTCCGTAGGGATCATAATCTGCTCGAGGGGAGGGAATGTGTCCCTGCTTCCAATCTATTAGCACGTGCTGTTGTCAACAGAAAATATTAAGTGGTAAATTTTGGTCGTTGAGATCTAGAGCACCAACATAGGAGAGAGTGGGGAGGGGAAATGTTGCCAACCCCAGTTTTAGAATGCTGCAGTATTGCTGTGTCTGCATTCATTATTTAAACAGTAATGGAAGAAATGCTTAATACCATCACTGAGGAAATACTATTTTTTCTGGATCCTGGCTTCTCTGAGTCATAGAGAAGGAAGACTGGAAGGGACCTCCAGAGGTCATCTGGTCCAACTCCCTGTCTGAGGCAGGATCAGCCCTCTCTAAACCATCCTATACAATCTAAGACATTTTGTTTGTGCCAATTTTGGTTCCTCCCTTTGTCTGGATATGCAAAAATTGGGTGTTCAGGACTGCTGCTTCCTATTCTAGCACCCTGCTGCCCCTGAACAAGCTTTATAAACTAGTAAGCAGTCTTTCCCATTTCATCACCTATCCTTCAGAGAACAAAACTTTTTTTTTCCAGTGATCTATTGCTAGTAAAGACCAAATTTCCGTATTCTTTCCCCATTTAGTTTGCCTTGTATTTACCAGGGAAAAGCAAGAAAGAAGGGGTGTGAGGAGATTCATAGAAGTTAGGGGCTGGAGGGGACCTGAGAGATCATCAGGTTCCAGCCCCCTTGCTCAGCATGGGAAAGACTGCTGAGGCCAGATGACCCCAGCACCATGTGCATCCAGCTGTATAGATGCTCAGGCCTAGTCTACACTTTAGTTTTGTAAGTAGAATTGAGTTTATGTTCAGCTCCCTTGTGGCAGCACAGCCCCTTCTTTCTGTTAGCAGGGTAACACTAGCTCTGAGTCACCATGCAGCTGACAAGATGCACCTATGCTTTCTGCTGACTGCTGCCAACCCTACAAATAAAATGGTGCTTCCCTGGGTGTACCACTTCCCCTTCTGGCACAGCTGCAGCATGATTTTGACAGGAGCTATATGGCTATGCTTGCGTGACTTCCCTTTGGCTGGTGTTAGCAGACGGCCCTGATTTTATTTATGAGCTGTGGAAGGGGAGTTCTACTACAGGCTCCATCTGTCTGCATAGAGAGGAAGATGGGACATCTTTCTTCATCCTCTGCTGCCCCTGCCAATGGAGATTCAGCAACATTTTCACAAAAGCAGCTCTGCCTGCTTCAATAATGGGGGAGATGGGAGGTCTTAAGGAGCTAGACCCAGCTGTTTCTTTAAAGGCAAATTCTATTCTTTTGGCTTAATTCACTTTGAAATTGGAACTGGTCTTGTGAATAGTTAAGATACTTGGCAAAGGGGTTGCCTCTTGTCTCCCTTCAAAAAATCCATACAAGGATCCATCGCTACAAAATTGCATCCTAAAACCCTAAAGATTCTCTCTTTTCTATGATTGCTGTTCAAATCAGTCCTGAGGCTGCTGCTTCTCCACTCTGCATGAGGTTAGTTGCGTTGTGCATCATTGGTGATTCTTTGGGCAAGTTGACTTGGTGGCGCCCATCTCCTCTTCAGGTATGGATGGCCATTGGCTTGCAGGGAGCTCACCTGTCCGTTGACAGGTCTTGTTTGTAGTCCTGCTGGGTGTCCACACACCCTCCTCATCCAGCCTAGCCCAGGTGGGGTGCCAGTTTAGTCACTGTAAATCTGACCATGGAACAGGCAGCACTGGTTTATATGATACCCAGATAGCAGACTGAGAGAGGCCTGGCCTGCCCCATGATTGCTACTGCAAAAGTATAAACAATTATAATTTATGTGGAGCAAGATATTTCCTATAAACCCCACAGAGGAATAAGAGTAAAAAAAAAAAAAAAAATCTTGTAAGGTCCCCCCTAAAGGATCACTTGGCCTCCAGGGAACTTTTTTTGGCAGTGGGGCAGAATGACCCAGTTTGGGTCCTAGGTGGGCCTATGCTAGAAACTGGTCACCCATCTTCTCCCCCACCAAACCATGGCAAACCAA